TTCTTTCCAGTTGTTTTTACAGACTGTGTGTGGCTCCAAGCAGCACCGATCTCTCTTTTCTCTGGTCCAGCTACTTTGGTTCTTTCAAATCCATCCTGCTCCCTTCAGCCACAGAGCCTTTTGCAACATCCTTTTAAATCTCCCTCAGTTGCATGCTGCCTCATTCCCCTCTGCAGTTCTACAGCATGCTGGAGAAGGCTTTGTGGTGCCCCTTACCAGGATAGATAGCAGCAGAGAGCATTTACTTTGGGGATGGGGTGGGGGTTGGTCCTACATAGATGGATCCAGTCGAGAACCTGGACAAAAACACCGGAAACAGGGTGGATGCCTTCCTGGAGCACAGCCTTCAGCCCCAGAGAGACTGGAAAGAAGAGAGACCGGATGCGCAGCACGGAGCCCAGCAGTTCTTACAGGATGAGTGTCGCCAATAAATGCATCTCTGATTTGTATAAATATATGCTTCCAGTACACTCTATGTGTCTGTGATAAAATTCTTTTCTTTACCCTTATCCATTTCCTCAATGATTTCTCCTCTTAAAGATGTCCCCAGAATGATCACCTCCAACTAGTTTGAGCTGAATACAAAATGCATAGAAAAAAGTATATAGCATTGAAGACTTTATGTGGCGAAACACTGGTAAACAAGCAATGATGATAAGGACACATTTCATTAAGTCTCCATTTCTATATCAAGGGGAGGGGGAGATAGTACACACATTCCATTCACGTGATTCAGCATTTTCTTCTGCCTTCCTCAGAATTGTTAAGTAGTACTGTTGCTCAGGAACAGGTTTCCTGATTTCATTCATCCAAATTGGATGAGATTGTTGTTCTACTCTTAGAGTTGAGTGTATCAATTCCATTTAATTTCATAGCAAGAGCAGTCTGGCGAGTCTTCCAGGACTGATAGTGATTTTGCAAGGACATCTCCTCCCGTACTTAATCAGGGCCCCCCTTGGCCACCCATTTTATTTTTTTACTTGACTATTCAGTTTCCCCAAGTCACAAAACCCCACTCCTAAATTAAAGTTAAATAGGAGTTAAGGATGCATCAAAACCCACAATTTTTCCATGGTTATTTAAGGAATACCCGAATAAAGCCTTCAATCACAAAATAATAGAAAATATTAACAAATTACAAATATGGGGACTTTAGATTTTACAGAGAAGAGCATTTTAATGCACTGTGATCATATTAAAATAGAGATAGCTCTAACATTGTCACTCATTTGCACTTAGAAATGCACATTTAGTGAAGTTATTCATGAATTCCTTTGTTGTAAAATATTTCTAGTTTTTATTTCTTGGAAATGGCCTGGTTATAGGCTTTGGCATTTATTAGTGGATTAATCCTTCAGTTATATATTTCCAAACTTTTCTTTATCACCAGAAACTGTCTAACACCACTTTTAACTGTGGTAAGACTTGTGACGTCCAATCTCATAACCAATTTCTAAGTTCATGTCCCAGTACTGTTAAGTGTAGTCATACTGTTGTGCAGGACACTTTTAGATCTTATTCACTGTCTGTAACTGAAGCTCTATACTCAGTGGGCAGCAAGACCTAGTTCCCTCACCGCAAACCATGGAAAACACTGTACTACTCTCTTTTGTGAGTTTATTTTAAGTGCCTCATATAAGTAAAATTGTGTTGTACTTATCCTGTGATTGGTTTGATTCACTATGCATGATTTGTGAATTCCACTTCTGAGTACCTCTTCACTAGAATAGAAAAAAGCATCTTCACTCCCATGTTAAATGTAGCACTATCCAAAATAGCCAGGATGTGGAAACAGCCGAAACATTACTGGTGAGATGAATGGGTAAAATGGAGCATGGTACACATACCATGGAATAGCATTCAGACTTTTCAAAAAAGAAAACCTATCCTATGTGACAATGTAAATGTGTTCATTCTAAAATAGCTGTAGAGGGGCTGGGGATTTAGCTCAGCGGCAAAGAGCCTGCCTGGCAAGTGCAAGGTTGTGAGTTCGGTTCCTGGTACTGGAGAAAAATCAAGAAAAAAAAAAAAAGAATAAAATAAAATAGCTGTAGAATTTCAATTGGGACAAGATGGAAAGTCCCATATAACCTATCACCCACACAGCCACACAGATTACAACTGAAAGCCAGACCGAGGACAGAAAGCATACACTATTGCAAAATGCTGAGAGGAAAACAGTGACAGGCAAGTAAGGACTAGAGTCCAAACGTGGGCTTTAATGGGCAGTTACAGTATATGGAAGATATTTTCCCTCCTGGGTCTTTAGGCTTTCCCTAGGGGAACGAAATTCCAGCAGGCCCTGAAAGGAAGAATTCTGGGACTTTATCTTTGTATCTATCCAGACAAGTGAGAATCTCTGACCTGGGAGGGTGCACTGGAGGATAAGGAGGGTCATCCCCACTCCTGTTGGTTCTTTCTCTCTAGTTACAAAGTTGTCCTGCAACCTTGGGAGTGACAGAGGGAACTAAACTTTGACAAATCGCCTATCCGTGCAAAAGAACAGGTAAAGAGACTTGCGTTGTTTGAAGAGAGTGAGGGAAATCTCCATTGTGTTTTTCCTTTCTTCTGTTGCTCTGTACCTGAGAGTTGACCTAGTCACATAGAAGTGTGAGGCCCCCAGCACCAGAAGGATGTGGGTAGAACTCTGAAGAGGAGAGAGCTGGAGAAAGGAATTACTTAAATTTGGGTAGGAGCCAATACGATTCCCAGACTCACACTGCGCTGCACATGCACAGAACAGACCCAAAGAGGCAGAGAAAAAGCTTCAAGAAGTGGCGACAATGTAAACCATCACTAATCTCGCAGAGGAACCAAGGGGTGGGAGAGCCCTGTGGACACCATCGCATGGCAATGGCCTGGGCTCTGGAACAGCTGTGTGCGGAAAGCAAAACGCAATGAGTAGTCTGACCCTGCTGTGCTGACTGCTTAGCAAGACAACAGCCAGAAGGCAAGTGGGCACTTGCCTGAGGATTTTAATAGCAACCAGAGTCTTACAAAATAATTAGCAAACTGCCCAGGATACTACCCCAAATTACACAATAAAATATACACCAAATTAGGAAAAGTAGACCAACTCTCAAGGGAAAAGTCAAGAATACAGCACCAAAAAGGGTCCACATTAAAAAAAAATCACAAAAATATCTATTGTAACCATTCTCAAGGGAAGAAAGGCAAATATTCTTGAAATTAATGCAAGAAATAAGTTCTCATTAGATAAGTGGCAGAAGTCTGAGAGCTTGTAAGTCAATAAAAATGACAATTTGAAGAACAAAGGAAAAATAAAAAAAATTAATAAATTCTTGGGAAACATGAAGAAAACCCTTGAAAGTGGTTAGACAAAAATGACATGTTAAATATAGGGAAATATCAGTGTGAAGGTCTGTGACTTCTCCTCAGAAAATATACCAGCCAGAAGTGATTGAAAGAGTATCTTTCAGTACTGAAAAACAAGATCAACTGAGAATATTATATGGTGGCAGAAGTATCCTCAAGGACTGAGGGCCAAATAAATAAACACAAAGATATATAAAGGTGAAAAAAAAACTTACATTAGAAAGCATGCTATAAAAATACGTGAAAGGAATTTCTTCAGGATGAAGGTAAAACACACAAAAAGAAATGATGGAACTTCAGGAACAGAAGAAGAATTGAATGGTAAGTATTTGGGTAAATGCCATACGTTATTTTTTCCACTGAAGTTCTTCAGTATGCACAGTGCATTTGCATATATAAATTATATCATTTTTATAAAGATAAGACATATGACATCAAGTAATTACATAAAGACCAGAGGGAAAATAATGTTTTTGCAAGGGTTCTATATTTTACTTAGAGTCTAAATAAATGGAATCTATATCATAATATATTAACCCTAATTAGACTGTGAAACGGTTAGGCCACCTAGTGTTATTCCCAGAACAACCAAAACACGACAACCAACAGCAGACGCTGGGTGGTACAAGCACTTCCTTCTTGGTGGGCTGTCCTCTCTAAGGTTCCCAGGGTAAGGGCAGTAAAAACCGGAAGTACTGATCTAAAGCTTTCATGTCATGCTGGAGCTGCTCAGGCAGGAGCCCTACTGCTGTGTGGTCCCCTGGTCAGGGACCATCCGTGACAGCGTCTGTCAACCTGGCTAAGGGATTGAAGTAACCACAACAGCTCATTTACTTTGATCCCTATCATCCCCAGCCCTCAGGAGGAGGTCAGGAAACCTCACCGGGTCCAGGAGGTGGATCTGCAGCCTCTTCACATGTGGTCCCTCAGGCTGTCCCTTCAGGCATCTTGGGTGCCTGCATGTGCTTTCCACGAGGGCCTTCCTCATCGGTATGCTGCAGGTGCTCAGGCCGGTTTCCACTGTTTGCGCATGCGTGCATTTTTCCGCCCTTTGCTCTAAGCAGCCTCAGAGCCCCAAGGAATCACTGACGTTTCGCCTATGGATGAGTTGGCAGCTCCAAGGAGTAAGCTCCTAACTTCTGGAAAGCAAGGGTCCCGTATTCCTCAGCTGCTCCGGTGAGTAGTTCCCTGGGAAAGCTTTGCCCCTCAGCCTTGGCCCTTGGCTCCCTCGGGAAGGGTGTCCCCCAAGGGTCTACCCCAAGGGTCCGTCTGCCAGGGGCCCTCACCCCACCTGCCCAATTCTTTGGGCGGGCACACCCTACTTAGCCGCCCTGTCTGTGGATCGACTTGCCAGTCATCCCAAAATATCCTGAGCAGCCCCTCAGTGTTTTGGAAAAATTTCTCCAGAACCCTGTTGCTGGACCCTGCAGACTTTGCGCTCCTTTCTGAGGGTCCTTACCCCATCTTCAGGGCGGTCTTCAGAAGAAGCCGGCGCTCTCTGGACAGTTTCTGCAGCTCAACCAAAAGTACTGAGTAACTGCCTGACTGCGTGGGAGCAAGAAGTCACCCCTTTCCAGGTTTCAAATCCCACCTGTGCTCACTGCCTGGTTACAGAAAAGATGACAATAAAAGCCCCCAGACAGAGTGGGGAGGGGACAGTGGTCATGGAGCAGCAGGACTGCCACAGAAGGAGCCCCTCTGGGCTTGGGCTTGTTCGATCTGCATTTAGACCCGTGGTGGGCCGGAGAGGCCTGATTCCCTTTGTCCCAAGGCCTGGGCCTCTGGAGCGAAACCTTCTTGACCAGAGCTCCAGAGATGAAGTTAACCCCTGCTCCCAGGCTTCCTGCATGAGCTTGTCGACCCTGCGAAATGTCATCATCATCAGCTCATGCAGCTCTGCGGGTGGTTCACCACAACCGCCCAGGAGTCCTCCAGCCCCCAGCCCCGTCCAGCTGCCCTGCTGCCTCTCCAAGGAGCTGAAGGAGAATGGTTTCCAGTCTCTGTGTTCAATGCCACAAGTTTCCAAGAAGACTGAGTATGAGAAGGTGGCAGACACAACACCAAGGCAGACAAAATCCTCCAGGAACTGCGTACACACAACTCGCAGAGCTAGGTCACAAAAACGCAAGATTCCCCTGCTGCCACGTAGGAGGAACCGTCTGAGGCTGCCACCACCTCTGAAAGTGGGCTATCGAGTCACCCCTGAACACCTAGACTGGGAGAAGGAGACCGCATTCCGTCGCATCAACCGCAAGTTACAGGGTGAGTCTCTGGCCCCCCAGGGCAGCAACACTGCACAGTCTTTTCTTTCTCTGCCTGCCTCAGGAACTGCTCCTCCGTCTACTGTCTCTCCAGTGCCCTGCAAAAAGGCAGGGAAAAGAAAGTGCATAACGGAGCAGGATTCTCTTGATCCATGGGCCCTCCTGGCATGTACTGCTGTGACCACCACCTCAGCTTCCAGTCCCTCCTCCTCAGAGCTGCTTCTGGGCCCCTTTTCACCTTCCATGGCCACAGCCTCTGACTCGTTACTGACCCCTGCCGGCAAGGATGGCTCCAGGAGAGAAACTCTTGCGGTGCCTGGTCCTTCAGCTGGAGAGGCCCTTCTCCACAGGAAGGGAAAGTGCAAGTCCGACTGGGAGCCCCCTCTGAATGGTGACCAGCTGGGCCCTTCGAGTTCCAGGGCTTCTGAAAGAGCAGCAGCAGGTGCTGGGTCTGCCTTCCCTGCCATCCCTAGCACCTCCAAAATGGAGTCTCTGTCCCCAGACTGGGGAAGCTCTCCTGTCTCCTCACAGAGGCACTGTCCCACTGCAGATCCCGGCGTCCCATTCTTTCCCAGTCTTCCAAAGGCTGCCTCTGCCCAGTATGACAGCCTCTCAGCCAGCACATCTGCAGGCCTGGCCACGCTGTCAGTGACTGACTTCTGGCTCACCCCCCTGGACAACACATCCCTGCCCCAGCCGCTCCTCCCGGAGCCTGCTGCTAGCTCCAGTGGGAGCTCTTGCCCCTCTGTCCAAGTGACTGTGACACCTTCCAGCAGCAGCATCTCCTCAGCCAGGGATGCCTCCACCCTGCCAGGACTGAGGTTCTTCCACATGGCCACACATGAGGGAAATCCTACTGAGTCTGCATCCAGCAATGAGCTCATGTCAGGGGCCACTGATGGGCAGCAGCACAGGGCCACCCCCTCTCTCAGCATGCTCTATTTTGGAGACGTGGAAGCTATGGCTCTGGGCCTGGGCCTGGCCCCAACCTCTACTTCAGGCCAGTCAGTTTTGAGTAGCATCACACAAGCAGCCACTGGGGCTTCCTTGCACACAAATATGACCTCTGAGACTGGTGCCAGCAATCAGCTGGACTCCAGTGTCATCCAGGGTCTTTCCCCTGCTGGTAGCTTCATTGCCTCTGCTTCTGCCACCACCTTTGCGATTCATGACAGCACCCAGACGGTCTCCAGTGTCACCCAGGATCTTTCCTCCCCTGCTACATCCATTACCTCTGCTTCTGCCACGGCCACCCATCTGTGCAGTGCTGTGAACCATATTCAGGAAAACAGGCAGCCCTTGTCAATGCGGGCTAAAAGAAACCCAGTCACGGGGACATGGGCAGTCTCGACAGTACCAGAGGGCTCTGAGGGTGAAGAGCTGCCCCGAGATTTTATAACCTCTTTTGAAGCACTGAGCATCTCTTCAACTGGAAAAGGAGCCTCAAGCACCACAAACTACCATGGAGGAAGTGTGGGCCTCAGCCATAGCAACCCCATGGTGGCCGTGGGACCCAGCACCATGAAAACTTCCATGTGTGGAGAGCCTAAGACCCCTGTTCTGAGTCCTATCCCCACAGACCCACTGAAGCAGAAGCGGCCAAATTCACCTAGAGAACCCAGTGACATGACAAGCAAGGCTGCTTCAAAGTGCAAACCCAAGTCAGCCTCTAGGTCTGGCATTCGTGCTGCTCGCGAGAGCAAAGTCAGGAGGAAGCTTGTCTTTAGGGTCACCTCATCACCTGCCCAGGTCTCTGGACACACATCTCCTGAAACAGACACTGAATCATCTTCCTGTAGCTCAGAATCCATTTCTGTGGATTCTAAGAGGCCAAAGCTGCCCTGAGAGAACATTCAGGTCTACCAGGTTGTGAGTCATGCAAGCCTTGTTTGTTTACCTGACAACCACAAATCCTGCGCTGACCTATTTGATCCTGGCAAACTGGAGGTTCACAAAAGCAGCTTTGCATTCCAACCCTCTTCCCTGAAGCTTTGTCTCAAAGCTATTGAGGATGACACTGTGGTTCTACTTGGGGTCAGTGGTCAGTCAACCCAACCACAGACAGGGGGTCATGGCTGTTTCTCTCTGAATGAGACTTATACCCTGAGCTAACTAACCATATTTTGTCTGACTCTGACCTGTCCTTTTCTAAGTCATTCTTTCCCTCAGATTATCTTAAATTCCAGCACAACTGGTCTGATGGATATACCTACTGTGATGAAATGTGTCAGTGAGGACATTAGGAATAAATATGTACCTTTGGTGTGGATCGGTAACACTTGCTTTTACCTGAGATTATCTTGCTGCCGGCAAGAATGATGACACAGACGTGAATTCTTACACTATTTTGCAACTACAATTGTTTTATTATCAGAGATAAGGAAAATGGCATGTAATACCATATGTCTAATTTTTATGCTTTAAAATAACCAAGACTCTTCTAAACATGACACTAAACATATGGTGAGACTTCAGGCACCAAAGCAGAGACCTCTGCTGGATGACAACAGAAATGCCAAGGGGGAAGAGAGAATGCTGCTAACAGCTTTAAACCCTGAACCTCCCCCTGATCCTAGTGAGCCTCTCCACCCCTCACTTGGCCCTCCATCCAGTTTGGGGAGCTGGCAGAACATCAGGAGAAATGGCTCCTCCTCAATTTGATGGCAAATATGAAACGGTCTTCTTTCAGACTTGCCAGGATACTGAATTTGTCCAGGGAATCTACCCCAGTAAAGGAAGGCAATTCTCCCTAAGATGGTATTCAATGGGAGGCAAATGCTAAATTCCCAGTGTCAGCCTATAGGCTATTTCTGAACCTAAATCCACTTTTGACTTGTGCTTTGCTAAACTGAGAAGCTCTAGCCCTCCTCGCTAGGATGGTCCTCAGAAGATGGGGAAAAACTTTCTAGCATCTTTGCCACCCACCACCCCCTAGGGCAGATAAACAGGCTTTGCTTCAGATAAGGTTTACTGGGAAAGAGAAGTGTCTTATCTTAAATAAGGCCCATGAGGAGTGTGTCTGATCCATCACACCAGGCCAGCATCCTTAACAGTGTGATTCAGAAGGAGCAATGCCACTCGTACAACCAAACTGGAATCCACATAGAACGGACAGCAAGACCCTACTGGGCTGTGATCAGAAGTACATCCTGGAAGGACTCAGGTGGGTACCCAAAATGAGCTAAAAGAAAATAAAAAAGCTACAGGAAGGGGCACTGAAGACCCTTTTGTGTTGCTAGAAAAGAGTTAAATCAGACTTACAATGTGATAGTGCAGACCTACAACCTTGGTACTTGGGAGGCTGAGACAAAAGGACTGTTGTGAATTTGAGGCCAGTCTGGGCTACAGAATGAGTTTAAGATCAGGGCTGGGGATTTAGCTCAGCAGCAAAGCGCCTGCCTGGCAAGCGCAAGGTCGTGAGTTCAGTTCCCGGTACCGGAGAAAAACCAAAAAAAAAAAAAAAAAAAAAAAAAAAAAAGACCAATCTGAACTACATAGTGAGACGCTGCTTCAAAAGACTAAATAAATCAATCACAATTATGATATATTGAATTAGAACTAGAAGCCCCCAAAAATGTAGAAATGGCTAATATAATCTTTACTGGAAAAAATTCACATGGCATTAGGTACAAATTTAAAAAAAAAACTGAAAGAGCCACATGAGTAAACCACTCTTGGTTGTGGAGACAATTTATAAAATCCACCATTTTCACTGAGACAGACCATCATGATCTAAAACATTCAAAGCTGGTATTTTATAGCTACAGGGTTAACCCAAGACGGGACAAGGACGTTAGCAAAGAACCAGTGTGTGTAGTGTAATGAAAATGGACAGCGGAAGAAAAACTGAACGAAACCCTTTGGTAAAAGGAATGGTTCAGTGGAGAGCTATAACATCAGATTGCAAAAGTTGATTAGACTTTATTCAGCACCGAGGGGACCTTGGGTCTCCTATGACCATCTCGGCTCCAATCATTATCTCTCCTCAAGAGTCCCAGGTAAAAGCAACAGTGGTACCAATCTGCACCAAAGGTACATATTTATTCCTAATGTCCTCACTGACGAAGAGTCTAATTGGATTGTTGCTATTGCAGGAGTACTCAGAGAGCCCAGGAACAGGTTTTCCTGCAGCCTCTGCCCTGCACCTCAAGAGCCCTGTACTTAACTCACAGCTTTTTCAATGGACCTGAGGGTCTGGGTCCGCTCCTTGGGAGGGACTTGCTGTGCAATGTAAATGATCAGGTAGCCTTCTTCCTGGAAAAGCATGGGCTACAAGTGCAAGTAGCACCCTAGCAGGCACCTACACTCCAGCTGATGTTGATCCCGGAGAAACCATCCCGCAGGTGAGGATATACTCCTGGCATGAACCAATGAGCTAGTCAAGCAGGTTGGGCTGATGGGATTCCACCCAAAACTTTAAAAAACCCTTCTTCAGATATGGGCGTACTAATTCCCTCTCTAAACAATAGCCCTTTTGAGGCCAGGCACTTGATAAAATTGAACTTATATTCTAGAGGTTTTAAAATGTTATTTAAACCAGCCTCTTCAGTCACCTAATAATTTTCCTCTTCTGCCAGGAAAAAAAATCCCTGATTAGAAGCATACTTCTTTGTTTAGGATTTACAGGCTATTAGTGAAAATGTCCAGACATTCACCCAACAATGCCTAATCTTTGTACTTAGGTGTTGACTGCACAAGCCATATGGTTTATTATCTTTGATTTAAAAGATGCCTTCCTTTGCACTCTGATCAAAAACAGATCACAGTTGCCTGTTGCTTTTACAGTGGACAATAACTGGATTAAAAAAAAAAAACCTCCTGTTGGACAAGGCTTTCCTAAGGACTCAAGAACTTTCTGGTGTCTTATAGAAAAACAGTGGCCAACATTTTGAGACTGTTGCAAGTTGATCAGGTATATATTGTTTAATTACCATGTTTGGTGTGATTTCCGTAGTTTTTCTTGCTGTTCATTTCTATTTCATTCCAGTGTGATCTGATATGAAATAAGTTATTGCAATTTTTAAAAATGTTTTAGGAATTCTTTGTGGACTAATGTATGAGGTTTATTGGAAAAAGTTCCATGTCTGATGAAAAGAATATGCATTAGGCAGCTGTTAGTTAAAATATCCTCTAGATGTCTGTTGTGTCCTTTTCCTTTGTGGTATAGCTTTGCTGTTCTTTTTTTTTTTACACGATGTATCTATTGGTAAGAATAAGGCATTACAGTCACCCACTAATATTGTATTGGGGTCCATCTCTCCATGTATATGTAGTAGGGTTTGTTTTAGAAAATTTGGTGCTGTAACATTGAGTGCATGTATATTTGTAACTATTATATTTTCTGGAGCAATTGTTCCTTTCACCAGTATGGAGTGGCCTTCTTAGAGTATTTGAATTGGTTTTGAGCTAAAGTCTACTTTGTCAGGTAAAAGTAGAACTAGTCTTGCTTGTTTTCAGATTACATCTACTTGGAGGATTTTTTTTGCTTATCTTTTCTGTTTCAGCCTGTGTATGTTTTTGCAGGTGACATGAGTTTTGTGCAGGAAGCACACTGTTCCATGTTGTGCTTGTAGTACAGTCAGTCTGCATTTTTAGTTGGAGAATTAAGGCCACTCATGTTCAGGGTTATTATTGAAATGTAAGCAATTGATCTTTTTTTTTTTTTTTTTTTTTTTTTTGGGTTTTTTTCTCCGGTACCGGGAACTGAACTCACGACCTTGCGCTTGCCGGGCAGGTGCTTTGCCGCTGAGCTAAATCCCCAGCCCCAGCAATTGATCTTTTCATTTTGTTTATTTGGTGGTTTTGAAAATTCTGTGTTCATTTCTTTCTGTCTTGTTCATCTTAGAGTTTACAATATTTTGATGATAACTGGACTCTTTCCTACTTCTCATTTGTGTGTTGACTCCCCTACTGAAATTTCTTCCTTCCTATGTTCTGATGCTTGTGTTAATCTTTCTCCCTCTTGAGTAGAATTACCTTAAGTATCTCTGTTATGCTGACCCAGTGACCATAAATTCCTTTACTTTATGTTTATTTTGGAAGACCTTCGGTTCAGAAGGACAACCTGCTGGGTTCAGCCATCTGATGGCGTTTACTTTCAAGAACTGAAATACACCATGCCATATCCTTTTAGCTTTTGGGATTTTTGATGAAAACTCTCTAATTATTTTGATTTGGCTTTTCCTTAAAATGTAGCAGGAAACTTCTGCTTAATATTGTTTCTTCACCTTGTATTTTTGGCATTTTAAATATGAAATTCTGTAGGGAGGCTCACTTCTGATCTAGTTGGGGTCCTTAATGGCCCTGTAAATGGGTGTTCATATAATTTTAAGCTATTATTTCACCAAATAAGTTTTCTATGCCTGAGCACAAAGCTCTTCTCCTTTTGTGGTATTTGAATTCATCATGGTGTTCCCAAGATCTATATAAGATCTATATATTCTCCTTATTTTTTCTTGCTAGTTAATGTACTCTTTTTATAAAGTTTTGCTCAAGCTCCAACATTCTTTCTTCTGCCTCATTTAGTTACTCCTCTGGTATCCAAGCATCCAAAACTGCCTTGAAAGAACATTCACTTCCTCCCAGGCTGTATCTCCTGTGAGTCCCACATACATGTCAATCACAAATTTTGTTCTGATGGAACAGATTGGAGGTTGAAAAAAGCAGAATCTCACTGCAGTCTTCTTCCCTGCACCTTTTTTCTCAAAGCTGGGGAGGATGAGGCTGTGGTCCTAGTTGGTATGGGCGGCTGGAGTCTTCACCACCACAGACATAGGCCCATGGTTGATGGCCCTGAATGAAGACTCAAATCCTTATATAACTGACTCTATTGTGTCTAAATCAGG